AATAAACTTTTTTACTAGATTATCAAGTATATATATTTAAAATTTTATATAAATTAAATAAATATTTATTGAATATACTAAAATTAAAATTTTCAATTTAATGATTAATTAATCTGATTTTCTTATATAGCATGATTAAATTTAAGAAAAAATTAAATCTTATAAATATAAGATCAATTTTATTACTTTTAGTTAATTTTTTATTAGTCTTATTTTGATAATATTATTTTTAAATTATATTTTACTTCAAGTTTCATTTCAAATTTAACTATATTAAAATATACTAGAAGATAGCTAAAAAGTATATCTCAAAACTTTGGAAAACAGTTTTTCAAGCATTTGATTCTATTTCTGTAGAAAGAATTTGTTCTTTACTAGATTTTCATTTAGATGAATAAATGCTTATTAACATGATTTAACTGGAAAAATGGCAGAATATGTGATCAAAAGATAAAAAAAATATAGATCAATTAACAAGAAGATTATGAATCAGATTAATGAGTTGTTAAATTAGAAGAAAGTGAGAATTTTATTTATTTTGTAATGATAATAATAAGAGAAACAATAATAATAATAAAATAATAAGGGAATAATAAGGCAGGTATTATGAATAACTGCTTTTTTATTGATTGATCATTGGTTGCATGATTGATCGATCAATATTGATCGATCATTAGCTGCATGACTGATTGCATCACTATGTAATGTTTAGGATTACATCCCAAAATTTGGCGCTTCATATAGTGGATTGGCTATCTTATGCTGTCCCGCACTGTAGTACATTTTATTCTAATTTAGTTACTTCATGTGTGACGATTGATGACAATCACACTGTATAAAGTGTGAGAAAAATCATTACTGCCTGACCCAAAAAACCGGAATTTTTTGTTTCACGAAAACTTTTGTGAAACATCCAATTGAATGATTTTCTAACGTTGACAATCTTTTTTTTCATCAAACCTTTTTTACTTCGTAGAGACGTGCTTTGATATGTCGGCTGAAGCAAAAAAAAAAAAAGTCGAGAATTTCTATTACGATTATGGAACGACGGTATACGTGATGCAAAAAAAATTCATGCACAAACAAAGTTCCCTCTCTCAACAATATACGATAATATAAAAAACCACAAAACATGTGGGTAAAAAAGGACGACCAAAAAAAAATTGATGGGACAATACATTCACAGGGACACCTCCCTCTCAACAAGAAATTTGGCCGCAAAATTATTAAAAACGGGTTTACAAGTGTCACATCAAACTATTGGAAGACATTTGAATTATCTTGGATATTCAAAAAGTCTGCCACGAGCTACCCCCATGCTTACCGAAGCACACAAAGAAAAACGGGTATTGTGGGCACAAGCTCACCTTATAATGAAAATTGGGATCGAACTTTTTTCACTGACGAGACAGCATTTGAACTCTTCCGAAACACCGTGAAGCGATGGCATAAGGGAAAACGACCGATTCGTTATGTGCCCAAAAGCTGAATAAAAATTCTTGCACGGGGAGGCTTTTACGTTAAGGGAAAAACGAGTTTGTTCTGTTTTAAACAGATCATGGATGCGAAATTTTACGTTGAAATTCTAAGTAGGTGGCAGGATAACGCCCCAAGCATACAAGTCGCTTGGCAAAATCCTTTCTTTCAGAAAACATGCCCGTAGTTATAGACTGGCCGTCTAATAGTCCAGATTTGAATCCAATAGAAAACTTATGGGGTATTGTCAAGGGAAACGTAGAAAAGAAAATGCCAAAAAATATCAAAGAGTTAGAATAGTTTATGGAGGAGGAATGGAGAAAAATTTCGAAATCTACTCTAATTGGGTTGGCACGATCGATGAAGAGGGGATGTGAGCTAATTATAGAGATTCGGTATCTCATATTAAATTTTGTATAAATAAATTTGTCTATTTCTAAAAAAAATTCACATGATTTAATGTGATGATCGTAATGCAGTAACAAATAAAAAATTCCGGTTTTTTTCTGGACCAGACTGTATTGAAATAACAATGACTAATATTCATATGTCATGGATGCGAAATTTTACATCATGCTTGGGAATAGGTGCAGGATAACCAAGCATACAAGTCGCTTGGCAAAATCCTTTCTTTCAGAAAACGTGCCCGAAGTTATAGTCTGGCCGTCGAATAGTCCAGATTTGACTCCAATAGAAAACTTATGGGGGGATTGTCAAGGGAAACGTAGAAAAGAAAAGGACAAAAAATATCAAAGAGTTAGAACAGTTTATGGAGAAAAATTTCGAAATCTACTCTAATTGGGTTGGCACAATCGATGAAGAGGCGATGTGAGCTAATTATAGAGAATAATGGAAAACGGCATCTCATATTAAATTTTGTATAAATAAATTTGTCTATTTCTAACAAATAAAAATTCCGGTTTTTTTCTGTAGTTCGTGATGATTCAAAATAACAATGACTGATATTCATATGTTTCTACATGTACATGTTTTATTATTCGAAATTATATTTAAAGAGTGTATTCCTTACGGTCTCCTTAAAAAAAATTTTTTACGCCATGTTAGACTCGATTTTCCAATATTCCTTGATTAGTCTATTATTATTAATCGGGTATTTGATAATCAAGTATCCGAATAGAGCAATCGGGACAAGAGCGAGACCGGATCTTAAAGGGCCAAAAGGATTTCCAATCGTCGGCAACCTATTTTTGATTTTACTTGAAGCGGAAAGATTTAATGACACTACACTTGAATTGACTAAAAAATATGGCGAAATATAGTTAGTATTTTATTTTAATATGATATTGTAAAATCCAAGTAATGAATTCTTTGTCTATTTTGCTCGTTTATTAGCACATATACTTTACCGGGTGTAGGACGATTCATAGCAATCAATACGCCGGAACTGATAGAACATATATTGAAAACAAATTATCTGAACTATCCAAAGGGTCCTTATTTTTATCGTCTATTGGTTGATGCATTTGGGGATGGAATTTTTAATGTTGATGGGTAAGAAAATTGAGTTGTTTTATTTCTTTGTCTAATTGGTAAACACTAAACGTACGCATTTTCGTATTACTAATAGAGAATCATGGATATTTCAACGAAAAATTATAAATAAAATTATTCAAGGAAAAAACTTTCGTACAATAATTTACCGCGAGTTTGAAGTGCATTCGAAAATTATGCTTGGAATTTTATCGGAAGCAGCCGAGACGGGAGAAAGTATAGACCTCCAAAGTCTATTTTATCGTTTCACTTTTGATGTTTTTACAAAGTAGGTTATGACAATAACGGAAAATAATTTTAATTCTAAAATCAAACATTAATTATGAGCTGAGCTCAATTTACATATTTATTAGAATCTGTTTCAATCAGAATTCTCATACCCTAACTAATCCTGAGAACGTGCCACTCTTCGCCGTCGCATTTGATTATTGTCAAGCAGTAATTAAAGAGCGCTTCCTTAATCCTCTATGGCCAATTCTCGAGATATTCTCTGAATCTGGACGAAAAAATCGCAAGTATTGTAAAGTACTTGATGATTATTCATACAATATTATTCAAGAGCGACGACGAGAGCCTCTAATGACAGAAAATTCTACTGATATCCTGCATTTGTTCATGGGTAATGGAGAGCACTTGAATGATAAAGAATTACGTGATGCTATACTTAATGTAATGATAGCGGGTGAGCTAATAAGTTTCTTTATTAGATATCAGCCTTATATAAAAATTTACACAGCAATTTGATTAATATTCTAGGACGAGATACTACAGCAGTCGTAAGTAATCTATAATTTGTATTTGAAAATTTAAGCATTATTGAAATGTCACTTGTTTGGTAGGCTTTGTCATGGATGATGTATAGAATAATGACAAATCCTTCAGTCGAGAAAAACCTATTAAAAGAATTCGACTCACTTATTACGCCCGAAAATCCCATCCCCGACTACGACAGTATTAAAAAACTCACATACGCTTATGCAACCTGGACCGAAACATTGAGATTACATCCAAGTGTGCCAATTAATTTTAAGGTAAATGACAATATTTTATTCTTTATATAATGTTATTATTTTCTAATCGATCTTACATAGACTGCTGTAAAAGACGATATCTTACCTGGAGGCGTTCCAGTAAACGCTGGTGATATGCTGTTGTGGTCTCCATACGCAATGGGTAGAGACGAACGCGTTTGGGGTAATGATGTTAACGAATTTAAACCAGAACGATTCTTGAAATTGGGTGAATTAGGTGAATATGAATTGATTAAACCAAGTTCGTTTAAGTTTATAGCTTTCAATGCTGGACCGCGAATATGGTAAGTCAACGTTATTAAATTGAAATATAATTATAGTCGTTATTTATTTTCATCATTGACCATGCACCTAATTTTCTAGTGTAGGACAAGAATTTGCAACAATCGAAGCGTTATTTCTACTAGCAGTGATGCTTAAAAATTATCGATTTGAGCTGTTAACTAATGAAAAAATGATTACATACGCAACATCAATCTTATTACCAATGAAGAATCCATTATTAGTTAAAGTTACTAAACGCGAAGCGTCAGTATAGTGAAGTGATTTATCTTCGTTTTGTTATTATTATATAGTATATGTTTATCAACGCTTGTTTGATTTGACATCGATATCTTTGTCATATGCAGTAGTCACATTACATTTGCAAAAAAAGTATTTTTAATACATGTAGCATTGAAAGTTCCTATAGCGATAGGAAATCTTCTTGTGCTTTATCAACTATAGGATTATCTCACCTAAGGATGCTAACGACTTAACTTGACTTTTAGCGACTATGAGAATAGTCGACTCAAGTCAACTAAAATGAATTTCCAGATAAATCAAAGTTTGACATCATGAAAAATCCTGAAATTCAAAATCGAAATCTTAGTTTTGCGCACTTTTACTGTTCATAATTTACTCGATGAAACATAAGTCCGCAAAAAATATAGAAATGTTAATAATTTTGCATAACGTGCATAAAACTTAATAAGATCGACTCAGTCGACCGACTTTAAAAAAAAGTCGACTTTTTTTAGAGTCGGTCGAGTCGTTAGCATCCCTAATCTCACCACAACTTTTTTTATACAATAACACGTTTTTGATAATTAATCAAAACTATGGTGCGGGAAATCTTAACTCGCCAATAAATTACATAATATTTAAAGACTATTAGAGCCCTTAATAAATCGAAACAAACCGGTAATAATATTGTTTAAGATATGTACTATTGAACTACTGGTCAGCATTTTATCGGGTACTTATTATATGATTCATGTGATTTTTTATCATGTGAAACTTGTTTTATTGGTCAATTACAATAATACACCACACGTGAATAATTTTTATTGGTTTAATGTTAGGTCTAAGCCCCTAAAAAAATTAATTATGCCTAATCATTTTAAGAAACATCCGCTTAATTAGCATTTATGCTAACTTTTAAGAAATAATAAAAATAATACATTTTTGATTGCATTATATGACATACTATGTTACATATCATTACTTAATACCTACTATATTATTGACTAAATTATATAATATGCTATATTACATTGTTATGGTGAATCTGGTAAGTGGGTTTTCACTTGGATTCACCTTAACAATATTGAATTGGGAGAGACTGAATTAATTAATAAATAAAGAGAGGAGAATTAGATTATACTTTCAATACTAACAAAGGTTTCTAAGGCCTGTGTCAATATCTACAGATATTGTCTTTAAAAGAGGTAAAATAAATAATAAAAGTAAAATATAAATCAAAGAAAATTATAAAGATTAATTAGTAAAGCCACTAGTAATTAATTATAATTCAAGACTTAAAGTGATTAAATAGTAAAGCTATTATTTATCAAAGAAGACTATGACTAAAGAAAAGATAAAAACTAAAATAAATAACAAAATAACTAATCAAAAAGAATATGACTTATTTATAATAGAGATCTCAAAAATAATAAAATAAATAAAACAAAAAGTATGACTTATTTATAGTAGAGATCTTTTACTCTTCAAAATATAAAACATTATCAAAAATCAATATAATGTTATATCCAAATTAAAATTAACTTTGTATGATCAAAGAAATAAAACTGAATAAGAGAAAGGATACTAGTATAATTAGAAAAGAAATCTTGCAAAGATTACTATTATTATAATAATAAGCTTTTTAATTATATTTTCCAAATAATTCAATTCAAACTATTTATTTTAAGCTAGGATAGCAGATTCTTTTATATATTTTTTAAATATATAGTATTACTAGTAAATATTATTTAAATATATATGTTATTATTATAAAAAGCTATAATTCATATGTTAAAATATTGATATTTTGCTAATATTTAAAATATCAATATTTTATTGATATTATAAATATTAATATTTAAAATATTAATATTAAAATGTTGATATTTTGTTAATATTACAAATATTAATATTTATTATTTTATCAAAAAAAATCTTTAAATATACTATTCTATTAAGTATATGATATATATATGATATATAAATTAAAAATATAGATCTCAAATTAAGAGAATAAGATATAATATTTAAAAATAGAAATATAATTATAATTAATAAATATAATAGAAGAAATAAATATATAATTATATAAAAATAAGGATAATTATATAATAAATTATAAAATTAAAGAAAAATAAAATTTTATATAATTAAAAAAAGATTATGAAATTAAGAAATTTTATATTAATATAATAATATATAGTTCTCTTTGAAAAATTTTTGCTTTGCAAAAATCAAGTAATAATCTTCAATATTTCTTACTTATTTAAATAATATAACTTGAATAGTATAAAGTCAAATTAATTAGTAAATACTTCTTTTTTAGATTGATAAATAAAAAAGACTTTCTGAATAATTTTATATAATTAATCATATACATATTTTTCAAGAGAACTTTTAATCTTCTTTTTAAGTTCTAATATATTTCTTAAATATTTATATAATTAAATTAAAAGTAAATATCCAAGTTTATAATAATAAATTATAATTTAATTATTATTCAGTAAGTTATTATAAAATAAAAATATTACTTTCTCAAGTTTGATTGACCAATCTTTTTTATAAATAGATTTAGTTTCTTCAGATGCAAAAATAGATAAGTTAGATTTTTCTTTAGAAATAGTTGAACTATCAGAATTTATGAATTCTGATTCTTTTTCAATATCTTCTTTATTAGTACTCTCAGATTTATTTTTTGAAAAAGTAATAATAAATATATTTAACTAGTCAAAATTTAATTTAGTAATTATATTAACTAGTTTGAAAGATACTTTAATTAATTCAACTATTATTTGAAGTTTCAAGAAAAAAGTATTATTTACTTTAATATCTTTGATAAATTCAGATTATATAAGTAAATCTAAAAGAAAAATATATATTTCTTATCTGATATTATTATAAATAAGTAGTCTAAAAGTTGAAAAAATTATCATTTTAAAGAATTGTTAAGCAAGAATCTCTGATATATCTCTTCAAGAAATTTAATAATTTGAGGAGTAATTCAAATAGATAATTGAAATATAATAAAATAAGAAAAATGATAAATATAAAAGAATATAAAGAAATAAAGATAATAGAAGTAAAATATATTTAATAAAAAGTAAAAGAAAATATGAAAAAATAAAGAAAAAAATGAGAAGAGAGAGAGTATTTATATAAATTCTGAACTAATAATCTATTATAAGTATAATATTAATATTAAAAATTTTATAAAAAATATAATATAAAGAAAAAATAAAATATAATAAAAGATAATTTTGAAAATGAGTATCACAAAAATTAAGAAAAGATCTATGTGAGTTACTTAATAATAATTTGTAATTCAAAATAATCTTGGTAATTATAATAATATTTGAGTTATCTTCTATTAATAGAATATTTAAGAATATTTTATTCTAATCACAAAGTTTATAAGAATTATATCTAGTATAGTCATGAATATAATATTATTCTTTACTTTAAGTAGATTGAAATTTATCTTTAATTATTAAGTATTACTTTATATTAAATATTAATACTTTATTTTCAATTTCAAATATTATTTTTTTTAATTTTATCATTATATCTTTGAGAATATTATAATTATTTTTCTTCTATATTTTATTTTACTTTTATAATTTGTTGAGATAACTGATCTATTATATAATATATTTGTTATATTAATTTTTCTTCTTCTATGGTATCTTCTTTTAAAAAATAGAAATTTTTAATTTAATTAATAATTTAATATTTTGTTTATAAGTTAAGAAAAATGATTCATATTTTGTTATTAAATTTTGATTAGTTTAATAGGCAAAAAGAATAATAAAAATAAAGATATCTTATTCTTATTTATATATTATAAGTAATTTTTATAATACAGTATCTGTTGAAAGTATTTTTTCTATTTTAGATTAATAAGAAGATAAAATAAATGAAAAATCTTTTTTTTTATTTATAAATACTAATTTTATACAAGATTTGTATATAATATAATTGCTTTTGGCTTTAATTAAAGATTTTATATACTTTCTTATACTTAAGACTAATTAGATCACATATTTTTTAGATAACAAATATTATTCTTTTTATAATTTTCTCTTTAAACTCTTAACAGTTCTAATTTTTTTTGTCAAATTATTTTTTATAAGTCTTCAGATATTTTTAATTGAATTTTGATCAGAAAATATAATAGTTATAAAAGAATCTTTATATTTATTTTCTTCTTTTATGTCTTTGTAATTTTTGAATAATACTTGGAATTATTATCTTCTTGAAGGATCTACTGATCATTTTCCTGATTAAAAAGTTTATTAGTAAATGGCAAAAGATCTATTTTATATATGTTTAGCAGAAAATTAATATTAAGATTTCTTATAAAGCAAATCAACTTGTCAAAATTTGCAGATGAAAAATATTTCTATATATAAATCTTCAGAAAATGCTTTATAGAATAGCTTATCTTTCTTCTTTTAAAAAATTGCCAAGTCTATTTTATATCTTGATTTAAATAAAAAATACTTTTATCTGAAAAAATCATCTTGTTTTAGTCAAAGTTTTTATATTTTTTTACTTATTCAGCTATTTTTGCTAATATTTCTTTATAAAAAGAGATTTTGAAAACTTGCTTATATATAATATATATAATAATATCAATATTTTGCTTAATTATCTTCTTTTTAATTTCTGGAATTATTATATCAATTTTTTTTACAAGCTCTACTATTTGCTTATTTTATCATTAGATATTTACTCTTTATTGATCTGTCTTTAATTTATTACTCAAGTCTTGATTTATCTTCATCTTTGAATCTAATAATAGCTTGTTTTTTATTATAATAAACTATTTTAGTTATTTTATATATTAACAACTTGAAATCTTTTGGATGAATATATAAAAAGACAATTTCATATTGTTAACTTAAATTTAAAAATATTTTTTAGATCTTTTTTCAAGTATAATAAAGCTTTTATTTTTTATTAATATATAATTCTCTAAAATACAAATATGATTTATATTTAAATTATATTATATATATACAAAA